AGAAGCTGCTGGCATTGTCAGAACAATGGACTGACCACTCCAGAGTCCAGACCTCAACATCATGAGAAGCAGAAAATGCAACCAACTTCTAACTTTGAAAGTGCTACAGGTTGCCCCAAAAGAATGGATATTTTCTGCTTTTTTTTCCTGATGCTGAAAAATGGATAAGTTGCACTAAGTTTCTGTTTTGACTGGGAATTAAATAAATGTAGGGTGGTCTTTGATATTTGCACAATACTGCATTATATATTCTATAATTATTTCAAGACATACCAGTCAACCATGGCAATACTGGTAATGTTGTTATAAAAACAAAACATATGAGATAGTTAACAATGACAGTTGCACTGTAAATGCCTAAAGCCTTTAATACTGAAATATTTCCACAGTGCATAATTCTGATTGATCTCTACATTTTTATAGATAATAGCAGATCACACAGCATCAGAATCCAAATAATCAAGTCTGTTTACTTAACAACTCTGCATGGTTTGAGGCAAATTCGCAATGATCTAAAGGTGCAGAATACGATCATAATCCAATGCACTTTCTGTCAAATTCAGTGAATATTTATTCACAGTCTGCTAGCTGTCTGTTCTGTGTGTGCACTGGAAAAAATCTGGTGTTCGTACTCAGCCCTGGCTCTGTAAATAGGAAATAAACAAAGTTTCTTGGACTGAGCCACACAACACAAATCCAGCCAATCAGCAAGAGGGGGTGTTTGTGCTTATGTGCAGGACAGAGAGAAAGGCACGGGCTAGTACTGAACTCCACACAGTGTCAAGAAGGAGAGGCGTCTGAATGTAACTGCTGCACCACTTTAAGGTGGTAACATTAACCTATTTTTACTCTTTCACAGAATCAATAAGTCAGTATTGTTTTGTCCCATTTGTGCTAAGAACTGGTTAGCTTTGCATTAGCAACTGTAGCAACAGTTTGCTAACCCATAACCAAGCTAACATTAGCTACATTATTTGCTGTGTGGTTCTTTGCTTTATCATTACATCTGTAACAATGGAGGCAATGAGGCTGGATGCAAGTGCGAGTTGCTTTTATTTAAATGTCATTTTACAGAGTCCAAAAACTGATTTGCAGAGGTAATTAAAATAGCAATGTCCATGATAAAACAAATGAAAGGACAGAACAAGTGAAAACAAACTAATAAAATAAAAACCTAAAAACAAGACAAATGAAAAAGCAACAGGGTCACATAGATAATGCCAAACGAAGGAACCAAGCAAACTTAGGGGGTATAAATACATGGAGAGGAAACAAGATACACCTGGGACTATTGAGAGGGAGGGGTCACAGACCAGAGACAGGTGGGACAAATGTTAAGGAGGCAGGACCAGGAAGGAGACCCAGACCAAAACAACAACAAAAGCACATGGCAAGATACACAAGGGAAGGTAAACAAAGGCAGACACAGACAGAAATAAGGAATGACAAGGCAGGACAAGACAGGATATTAAAACACCATGGTATTTGTATAACATTTGCAAAGGGTTTTACGGCTACAAAGATCTAAAAAAACAAGTTTGCAAGCCCACTGTCATTTGCCTTGGCAATTCAAGAATTTGGAAAGGTGGAGTTTCTGAAGGAAAACTTCATCATTGAGTTCAAATATCAACATCATTCATCAGAATTGTATGCTGCACCTTTAAGCATGCAGTTTACACAATGTTAACACGAATAAATAAGCTTCTATTACTTGTTAGTACATTAGCCTCAGAGCTCCAGTGCAAACCTAAAGAAGAAGCAAATTTCAGGCAACGAACATGTCATGGCTGATTAACTATATCGGGAGTGGGGAAAATTTTATACATTTGACTGGATTTAAATAAAAAAAAACATGAGTAGCTGTCAAGAGCAAAAAAAATAGTGTCACATTTGGAACAAAACAATGTTTCTCCACAAAAGTGTACAGGGGAAAAAAAAATAATTTCAATGTAAGTAGTGTAACAGGATTTTATTTTAAGTGCTCGTTAGACTGTTTAATACAGAGTAAAGAACTGCTGGTGTTTTCAATTTAACAAAAAGTGGAGATCTGACAGCAACAATGTATAAAAGTATCAGGTCCTATATTTTTCAAAAATAAGAATTAGCTGGAAAGATAGAAAACATATATGGATTATTCTACTGAATTGGTTTAAAGTCAGAATTCAAAAGCCATTTTCAACTTTTAACTCACTTGTACTTCAGACTAAACCATTAAGATCATTAACAAAATGTAAAAAATCATATCCTATAGTTGTCATTTCTGAATTAAAATAAATCAGAATTAGCTGGAGGTATAAAAAGCATATCACTGTTGTCAGAAGAAAACCTCGTATCTCCAAAATGATAACTTTACAGGAAAAGAAAAGTAATTTTTGGCCATTTGTTTTGGTCCAATCATCACGAAATTTACACACAATGCAAAAGGCAACGGGCCTTTTCAAAGTATGTCAAAAACTGAAAAACGACAAAAATGGAGATACAAAGTTTTCTTCAGAAACACAGGTTAACAGTACATGACAGAACTGTGTTTGTGAGCTATTGCTCAAGCGCTCTCAAATCAAATTTAATTTGGACACACACAATTATGCCCTGTTGTTCATCTGGTAAACACAGTGAAGTGCTTCAAACAAAACAAAGCAAAGCATTCCGAGTCCTGCAGTGCAAAAACAACACCTCTGACAGCTCCTCTGTCACTCATTCCAATAAAAAAGCTTGACCAAGAAATAACACTTTGGTCTGCACCTACTGAGATTTATAATGAGTCTAGTGCCAACTTCACTACATTACCTTTACACCTCAGTCCATCTGATCTCTGTCAGTAGAATATGAATTTGAATGTCTAGACAGGTATAGACTGTAGACTGTAAGGCTAAGCCAGACAGAATGTTTTTTATGTGAGCTGCTAGAAGTCTGGGAAAGAGATGACAGTTGATGAATAGAGAGAGAGAGAGAGAGAGAGAGAGAGCAGGAGAGAGATCTGCAGTAAGAAACAAAGGCCACCACATAATGTTCTTTATATGTCAAGTTATATACCACCCTCCACATTTATACAATACTGTGAAAGACTTTCCTTCATTTGGTCACTATATTCAACAAAAACTGAATGTAGGACACACTAACAGCATAAGCTAAGTGTAAGTGCAGCACTGTTTCTTTATGCTGGGAGATTTATAGAATAATAGCGAGATTGTTTCAATTTTTTCAGATGAAAGAAAAAAAATGAATGAAGATGAAGAAAAAAGGACATGAATCACATTAGATTGGCACCTTTTGGCTTCCTTTAACTTTTAATGAGTTTTCACTTAAAGCATTTCCATTCACTCAGGCTGTTGTGAAAACTAATGTGACTGTTATTAACGCCACATTTGCTTCATAAGCTCTTTCACCTACAATCAATTAACTTGCTTAATGTTATGGAGTCAGCATTAAAAGCAAGGTAGCATAATAGTGCAAAATAGCTGCAGCTTTTAATGTCAAAAGCAACTGTTAACGAAACAGAAAAATATTTGCTTTCCTAAAAAGACTAAACTTTTTATCCTATTTTGCTGCATCTGTATCATATAATCGATTAACAAGGACAATATTTGGAATGTATTGTTAAGTGTAAAAGTTGTTGTTGTGAAATTGCATTACGTGGATATATATTCCAAATGTTCATTCACAGGAATTCAGCAGCTCCACTCAAATAAGTTCATTGTTAATTATACCACACCTTTCCCTTCATATAGAGTTGGCATATACTGGCTATGTTATTATAACTTAAAATGCAATTGTTGATTAAATAAAATTGAAAAAAAAGTTTATCTATGGATGCAAATAAGAAAAGTTAAACATGAATCAGTTTTAAGTACTTCAGTTACTTAAAGGCAACACAATTCATTTATTTATTGTTTATATATTTCATCACTCTACATGTATTACATCATTGATACAGTCATGTATCTCCATTTTTTCCTGATTTTTGTTTCTTAACAGTCTTATATGCTGTGTATAAAGTGATTTGAAATGTTTTTGTTTTACATTAACTTGCACTGAAAGTTAAGAACATTGTTGACTTCTGTAAAATTACTTTTTTTTTTTGGGCCAGTAATGATTCTCAATTTGTACGTTTTTGGGTGTTAAACCCATTAATTTCTTTTACAAGTGTGTTTTGAGTGAACAGGTTTTGTGTTCCCTACTATACAGAAGTGGTAGATGGAGATTAGGTTGAAAATTGCTGGAATATCAATTCACTTGTATAGTGCTTTGATTCAAGTAAGCAGATGATGAAAGACAACAAGTAGTTTCCACTTCTTTATGTTTGTCTTTGTAGGAAAGTGGGGTTGTGTTAGACTGTCATGTGTTTGTATCGTTTACTATGTGTGTGTTATTTGTATGCTTTGTGATAATGTTTGTGGGTTTGAGTTTACTGACACAATGTATATGTGTGACAATGTGTGTATGCATGTTTATAAGAACATCAAAGTTCAGCTACAGAGTTTGTGTCACTGCCAGAGAATAAAAAGGTTATGGTCACGTTTGAACCTTCCCTAAACTATATCATTATCCTCTCTGCGTGTGTGCTGCAGGGCACCCCCGGCTGTGATTGGCTGGCTGCAGAAGGGCGTATGGTGATGAGGATTGCCCTGCATGGCTGGCGGAGTCCATGTCAATTTCCACACTTTGTGAGCAGCTCTGTGGGAGACAGTTTGCTGTACTGGAGTTTCTAGACACAGCAGACTGAGCCACACTGGGTACTATAGCTTTTATTTTTCATGTGTGTCTCTGTCTTTCACTGCCTCTGTCTTAATATTCTCTCTCGTTCTCACCCTTTCTCTCTCTCTTAAAGCATACGTAATCAACGTGCAGAGCACACAACAAATATTTCAACTGGTTCAGGCTCCCTCTTCACTTAAACCCAGGTTAAAAGCACAGAGAATAAATAAAGCACTTTTGGAATCATTCCACATACTTAAATAACAGCAGCTGAAGCCAAATGGAGAGCAAACAGCAGAGCTTACCTGTTGAAAAGGATGAAAACAAACAGAGGGAACCAGGAAGGGATCACAGTCATCATTGCAGATGAGAGCAGGTGTCTGCTAAAGTCTATCTAGAAGAGAGAGCAAAAGGAATGTTAAGGCCCTCAAGAGTCATGCCTGTTTGGAATATGCTACCGATCAAAAGTTCGGTGACATCTAACTTTTCAAAAGAATGTTTTCTTTGTTGGTTTGTTCAAACATAGAATATCAAAGACTGTAACTTTGCTCAAAAGAGACCTGGTTAGTCTTTAATACATTTCGAGAAAGCAGCATTATCTATGTTGGGGATTTAGACACCTCTGTGGGAGAAATGTATAATTACAAGCAAGTTGCGGAAGAACATTTATTGCCCCCCAGTTTATTCTGTTTCGGGGGAATGCTGTATGTTTGGTAACCAACTTACAATGGTTGATGAATGCTGAATTAGGAGTCTTGCACAAGAACTCTTAGTCCATGCTGGCTCTACCTAATAAGCGACATAAGCAGCTGCTTTGGCCCTGCAGCCACCACTGGCCCCCTAATAACTTCTGGGAATTTAAGAATTAAATCATGTCTCAAAAAGAATGTACGCTGTTAGAGCTGAAAAACAGAACAGAAAAAGGTAAGAAAAAGCTTAAAGATAAAGGTATGTTTTGTTTTTTTGTGGTGCCATTTATTTTGGCTTGTAGTTGGACAACAAGTAGTAGTGATTCTGGGGTCTGTCTAACAGAGCACATTCAACTTTGAGTTTCAGCTTTAAAAACCCATACGTTTAACTTGTTTTACAACAGTGGTAACAACTGTCTCTGTTACTCCATGTCTGGACACTCAGGCTGTGATTAATATCTGTGTGTGCACATGAGAGTGTGATGTTTATGTCAAACAGCGAATTGTGTGAAGCATGAGGAGGAGTCATCAACGCAGAAAAAAGAAATCATGCTGCCTAAATATGTAGAAAGTAAAGTATTTAAAAAGCAGTTCAAAAGCAATGGTGTTGCCATTGCCATCAGGCTTGGACTGAACTAAGATTAAAGTTAGCTGGTAAGCAAGACATACAGCATTGTGAGACATACAGCATTGTGAGATACACCCCTGGATCAAGAATACTGAGAGAGCTATTTGTAATTTAAACTGTGATTTATTAGAACCCCAAGTGAGGACCCAATTACCACAATACACAACTTAGTCAACCATATTTAAATTAGACAGCTTGTGGCAGGCAATGGGCCTCATTCACCAACCATTCTTAAGAAGAAATTTCTTTTCACAAACATTCTGACCTTCACCAGTGTGTTCTTATTTGGGATTTGTTCTTAGATAAGAACAGAATCTACACACACTCAAGAGCACAAAGCTGAGAAAAGTTCTGCGGTTTAAGAACATATCATGAAGCTGATGACTGAAGTTTTCCAGTACATCAGATAGCAAGATGGGGTTGCAGTAGCCACAACATCTAAACATGTCAATAGATGTATTCCTGTACAGTTAAATGTTTTGCAGTTTGCTTACAGAGAAACGCATTCCTGTAGCACTTTCTTATAGGGAGTGTATACCTGTACAGTTAGACTCGTTGCAGCAGTTAGCATTTCTGTACAGTTAGATTCATTGCAGTTTGTTTATTCTCCATTAAGGATGCAGTATCCTTAATGCTACTGCATGAGGTCAATGTGCATTTAGAGCTGAGAGACACTTATATATCGCTGCTGTCGGAAAAAAAACTCATCTCCGTTTTTGTCGTTTTTTCAGATTTTGCTATAATCTAAAAATGCCTGCTGCCCTTTACATTGTGTGTACATTTTTTGAAGAATGGACCAAAAGAAATGGCCCAAAATGACTTAAAAAAAGTCTGGTTCCATTGACTTACATTAAAAGTAAAGTTGTTTTTCTCCTTCTCCTGTGAAGTTACCATTTTGGAGATACAAGGTTTTCTTCTGACAACAATGATATGTATGCATTTTATAGATTACAGTTCATCTTTTAATACTATTGTTCCCTCCAAGCTAGTGATTAAATCACAAGTTTTAGGCCTTGATGATCGAATCTGTAAATGGTTTTTAAATTTTCTTACAAATAGATCTCAAAGAGTAAGAATAAATAAACAAGCATCTTCTGCACTGGCATTGAGTACAGGATCTCCTCAGGGACATGTATTGAGTGTTTTGCAAGATTCTCTATGTACCTACAATTGTACTGCTTTGTACAAGACCAATTTGATTGTATAATTATAAGCCTATGAAACTATAATTGGTCTTATTACTGCACATGATGAATCATTGTATAGAAATGGGATTGCAAGCCCCAGTAGTTGGTGCAAGAATAATCATTTAGATCTCAATGTCAAGATATTTGACTTTAAAAAGAATACGGTAGAGCCTACTTCTATTTTTATCCATGCTGCAGAGGTTGAACCAGTTCATTGTTTTAGATTTCTAAGCACTGAGATGTCAAATGATCTTTCATCCTGATCTTGGTTTTAAAATACTAATACCTTAATTTAAAACATGTAACCACATGTATTTCTGGGCAAGAAAAAGTTTGGTATAGGGCTTAGTATTTTTACAGATGCACTATAAAACTAATTCAGTGAAGGTCTGGAATGGCAATGCGAGTATTAAGGAATGCAAAGCTTTACAGAGAACGGTGCATAGTTGAGCCGAACTTCCCTCCATAATGAAGATACACTCTTAGAATGCTTTCACATGCTCTTGGCATTATATTGGATCCTAATCATCCAGCACATGAACTGTTTGTCATGTTCAGTCCACAAAGGCTTCAACAAGTATACTTAATAAGAGCTTTTAGCCAAGTGCAGTATGCATTCTTCTCAATTCAGCTGCAATTTAATGAGAAATTAATGCATTTGCACTTCACTGATTGATGAGATTTGCTTGTGCAATATGTTGGGGTATATGTAACAGCAGACTGCTGCTCAGATTAATGTGACTTGATGGTGCGATACATTTTGTATATTATAAGAGAAATAAGTTTTATTTCTCCATGGTATGAATTATTAAATTCCAGTCTAAGTAGTCCTATACTTACAAATGGTAAATTACAAACTAAACAGAGTAAAGGACTATGTGCTGATTTATTTGTTCTATTGGAATGAAGAGATTTCGATGCATCATGCAAACTGCTGGTCTGCACTGACAGGTGCCAGGATGAAAGGACACTAGTAGTAAACGATACCTTGGCCAGGCTTGGTGCAATGTTCAGAATGCAGCTTGCACTTGCAAAAAACACTTTCTACTGTTTTTTTGATTAAGAATAGAATAATTAAGAATGAGAATAATTAGGCCTGATTAACTGTACTTAGGGCAGCACAGTATATGAAATGTTGCATACAAGAAATTGGATTGAAATTGGATATGTTGTATCATACACATTTTCATAAAGTATTGTGATATTACATTTCTCCCCACCTCTAATAAACACTATCAATATAATGATTTTTAGTTAATATTTCAAATACCGTAATGCACAAAATCTAGCTAAACAGGCTTAATTACACTCTCTTTATAATGAAACATGCAGTTGATTTCTGTTCTTTAAATACAGACGATATCCACAGTGTGTTCAGAAAAGCATATTGTGAATTTATTATGATAACAATAAACATTGTAATACTGCAAACCTCTCTATGAACCATTCTACTGAAATGGTTCAAAGTCAGAGTGCAAAACCCGTTTCAGACTTTTAACCGACTTGGACTTTAGACTAAAAATCTTTTGCTTTAAGTGACCTTATATGGTATTTTATAAGTATATGTTTATTTTATTAAAAGAAATGATTGAACGTTCCTCTTTGTCACTAACAAAAGCAATCATGAAACAACTTTATCAGATGTTTCAGTAGTGACCAGCAAACACAGCTTTAAAAAAGTGCACACATAAAATAACAATAATAATATTGTAATAACAATAATATTGCCCTGCACTGTACTTGAGTAATTCTGTTGAAGAAACTTAATTTAATGCAAAGGTATCCAGTTTAACTCCTTAAACTGCAGTATCTTACTGCAGACCTACTGTTTGGAAACTACTATAAATTATTCCAGACCTACTAAAATGTCCTTGAATGTTCTTTGAAACCACAACATAGAACAACCACTTTTGGTTCCCTTTCCATAAATTGTTCTTAAAAAATTACTAATTAAAACCACTCAATTGAACTGAGATTCTCTTATAGCATTGCTCCAAAGAACACCTTTGGGCACCTTTATTTTTACGAGTGTACATACGCTGCTTTGCCAGCATATGCAGCAGGAGCCAGTGAAAATGCCAAAAAAGCTGGAGCTTCTCGAGTTTTCTAAACCTCCTCTCCCCGGTGGGCATCACAGCTGTCTCAATCCTTCTGTGCACTCATTTCTCTCTTTAGAACAGCATCTTCCACTCCTCACTGCAGGCCTACTTAATTTCTGGCCTGTGTGAGGAAAGCAGCTTGCCAAGTTCATAACATACAGTATAGCATACCATCCACAGTTTCTGTCCAAATGAGTAAACAGAATATAGACAAACAGAGCAGATCACATGTGTATTTCCTTTGAGAAACCAATAATCATTCACAGACCTGTTCACATATCTAAGACTCTGAAATAATCAGTATACTTTGCCTGAGCTTAGCAGCCTGTCCCAAAGTTCACACTTGCAATTTTGTGCACTTTTTTGTATGTTCATGTACTTTCTGTTAAAAGTCTTAGTGTGTCCCATTTCTCAAACCTGCAAAAGCACAGTGCACCACACTGTAAAGAAATGTATATGCACATGCAATTTACCATCAAAATTGACCATCAATGAAATTTTTTTAATTATGTTTTTAAATAACAGTATAATTGATGTGAATTTACAGCTAGTGACTGTTATTTAAGTTGTGTCCATTATTTTACTGTTAATTCTCTTGAAAAGTAACACTTTTTTGCATTACTGTCATGTTATTATAATTTAACAACATGGCTGTGTTTGTTCAAGAATTTGTCAAGAAAATGCAAAAATAATAATACAGTCAGGTCCATAAGTATTTGGACAGTGACACAATTTTTGTAATTTTGCCTCTGTTCACCACCACAATGGATCTGAAATGAAGCAGT